TTCAAATTTTGTGCTGAGAATAGAAGAGCATTTATTGACAGATTCTAGCTGATCTGCATAGGAACTTTGTGGCAAGGTGGGAAAAGATGGTGACAGTCTGTGGTAATTTTTGCAGGGTGGTGTGGTTTCTGGCAATTTGTACTTACAGTTTTAGACTTTTTTTTTGGTTTGTTTTTTACAATGAGCACATACTTACGGAATCAAAAATAAAAAAGCAATTTTACTGTTTTCATTCAGAGGTGAGGAAGGCAAGGTACAGACCTTTGGGAGAAAAATATAAATAAACAGTGCTATACTATAAAACTCCAAGATGTGGAGTTCTGGTAAATTTTTTTTTTCAGTTTTGTTAAAAACTATTGATAGTGGTTTCCTTTTTTAAGAAACTGGGCAGGGAAACTGTTTGCTTTTTGTTTCGTATTCTTAAAAAACAAATGTCAACAGAGCTTATCAGGGGTTCATTTTTTGTCTTCCTTCTGGCTTCTTGCATTAAAAAAAAAAACTCATGTAAGTGTTCTGTCAGTTTTCAGAATTAAAGGAATAGACAGAACATTCCTGACATCAAGGATGTGGGCATAAGAGCTATGTGGTTGGGTGTGTCGGGGGAAGAGTACTCAGTTCTGAAAGTGTGGTAGAGTTGACTGGGTGTTGCGTGGTGCAGAGGAGTTTGGCAAGACCACAGCCTGGCAGGACTTCCTGGAGCTTGTGGTATAAGGAGGACTTTAATGGGAGAGGTGAGGCCTGATTGAATTTTGTACTGTCTGGGCCTCATAGGCATCTGAGGAGCAAGGATTAGGACAGGGTTGCCACCACGGTGTGAGCCAAGAGAGGAAGCTTGAGCCCCAGTAGAGGGAATAGAGAGGTGGTCATTGTCTAGAGATAATTAGAGGGCTTGGTGACTGGTTGTGGGTGGGAGGGAGTGGGAGGAGTCCAGGATGACTACTGTTTTCTCTCTTGAGCAGCTGAGTAAGGGAACACAGAAGAGGAAGAGCAGGAGGGGGAAGGGCTGGTTGGTAGTTAGAAAGAGAGAGGTGAGAGGTCCAAGAGGAGGGGTATGGAGAGGTGGTAGGCAGGCAACAGTAATAGGCCAATGAGCAGGTTCAGCTCAGTTTGAGTCTGGAAGGAGATGGCAGGACTAGGTGGAGAGTTTGCAGAGCAAACTCTCTGAGGGAGGGGGATGAACTTCTCACAGCATCAGAGAGAAGAGAAGGAGCCTCAGGGTCTCACTATGTCTGGTTTTTCTCATCCTTCAAATCATAGCTGAAATGTCATCCACCCCATCTAGGTTACTTCTGTTACAGCGCTTCGTTTGTTTGCTTTCTTACGCTTATCATGACCTGTCATTTATTATTTCTTAACTTTTTATTTTCTTGAAAGCAGGGACCTTGTCTGTCTTGGTTACAACTAACTTCGTAGCCCCTAACATAGAGCTTGGGACTTAAGGTGTGAGGCTATAGAATCAGCACTGGACTGTGAATCACAAGGTTGGCAGTTCACACCCACCCGTTGCTCCTCAGAAACCCTATATAGGATCACTATGAGAAGGAACCAACTTGGTGGCACTTAACAACAACCACCACAACATAAAGCTTAGCACATACTAGGCTCTCAGAACATGTTTGTTGACTGACTAAATAAGTGAACAGCAAAAGTAGAAGCCAGAGAGGCAGGAAGAACACCAGAAGAATGTAGTATCAGGAGGAAGTTGAATAGGGCCAGTGTGTGCTCGTAATATGTTTGAATTGAGAGCCAAGTACCTATAAGACTTGAGTATCTGTTATATTTGGCAACAAAAAGGCCCCTGTTGGCCTTGGCCAGAGCAAGAGTGGGGCAACACAAACTTCTTCTTCCAGCTGTAATTGTCCCCTGAGTAGAAAGCAGGTGGGTGTCTATAGGCAGGGATGGATCCCAGAGACTCTAGAGGGAAGCCTCTGAGGTCAATCAGGTCTCTGTTCAGATACTTCTTCTCACTCAAGAAAGCCTTCCTCCGAATAGCCTTGACCCATGTGTTTTAGTTACCACACACTGTTTTATTTTCTTTACGTTACTTCTCACTGTCTAAAATTTGTGATCCTGCACCCTGTGTAAGCTCCTCTAAAGTACGGACACACCTGTATGTTCACTATGGTATCCCCATGTCTAATATGGTGCTTGGTGAAGAGTGGGCACGTGTTTTAGTTATCTAGTGCTTCTATATTAGAAATACCATATAACAGAAATTTATTCTCTCAACATTTTAAGAGGCTAGAAGTCCAAATTCAGGGTGCCAGCTCTAGGGAAAGATTTTCTGTCTCTGATGGCTCTGGGGAAAGGTCTTTGTTTTCTTTCAACATCTACAGGCTTGACATTCCTTGGAAATATCAATCAGTCTTCCCCTGCATCTAGGATATTCTCAGCATAGAAGCCTTGGGTCCAAAGAATATGCTCCATTCCTGGCTCTTGTTTCTTGGTGCTATTGAGGTCTTCCTCCTCTATTCAGTTCTCTCTCCTTTTATCTCTTACCATATAGAAGGTGACGCAGGCCACACCCTCTCATGTACTGTGGATGTATTGTCAGGAGGCATCAGTCCCTGGAGAAGAACATTATGTTGATAAAATAGAGGGTCAACAAAAAAGAGGAAGATCTTCCAAGAGATGAATTGACCTCATTGCACTGAGCTGCAACACGGCAGTGATTGTGAGGATGGTAGAGGACTGAGCAGAGTTTTGTACTGTTGGTCATTGGGAGTGGGAACCCACTCCACAGCACCTAACAAGAATGAAACAGGCCACATCCCAGGGAAACTCCCCTTACATCTCATGAGGGCCCTGGCCTGAATAAGGGTGTTTGTTTCATTCTACTCCTCACATAATGGAGTGGGTGGGTGTTCACATCAGATCATATCATGACGGATGATCACATTATTACCTAACTGCCAGATTACCTCATTATATAACTGCCAAACCACTGAGAATCGTGGTTGACCAGCCAAGGTGACTCTTATTTTTTGGGTACACAATTCAATCCATGACAACACTTAATACTTATCTATTGTTGTTGTTGTGAAGTGCCATTAAGTTGGTTCTGACCCATAGTCACCCTGTAAAGGGTTTCCGAGGAGCAGCTGGTGAGCTTGAACCACTGACCTTGCAGTTCAGACGGCTTTGCAGTCTGGTGCATTAACCCACAGCGCCACACCAGGCCTTATCTGTGGAGTGCATGAAAGAATCTTGCCTTTCAGATATGGCCTTCAGCTACAGCTCCAACCACCCAGGGACAGGGTCTTCTTAAGTTTATATACTTGCTTGGAGCTGAGTAATCAGACACCGGTGAACAGACAGCAGGCAGCCTTTGCAGAGTGGATGGAGCACTGTGGTTAATCTTTCTGGTCCTAGGCAAGGCACTTACTCTGTGAGCCATAGTTTCTTCACCTGCACAGTGAGAATGGTAATAAAACCTAATTGAAAATATGGAGTGTAACAACGTGGTGCCTGGCACACAGTAATCAACCATGGGTGGTGGTGGTTTGTGATTGTTTAATAATCAACTGGCCTGCACTGGACAACCCCTCTAGGTCATGTCCAGAGATGCCTCTGTACTGTCCAGGGATGGCAAAGGCCTGTCTAGGTTGCGTCATGCTCAAGTGTCAGAGCTGTGGGTGACTGTGTCTGGTCTTGAGTTGGCATATACCAGTCAGCATTGCTTGGGCTCATGTAAAGCTAAGGGGTGTGGCCACATGTGTCTGGCCTGCATGAAGTGGGGACCTGAGCCAAGTATGTCTCTGTCGAGAACCGGCCTCGACATGGGGGTTCGATTCACGAAGTTGGGAGATCTGGCGGCGACAGAGATAGAGAAAGAATACACACAAAGACGCAACAAGAGAGACAAGAAGACACCCCGAGACCAGAGTGGATGCGACACTGGCGTCAGACAGATCCTGCATTGTAAACCTCATGGCTAGGCAAGCAGTATGCACACCTTGCCAACTGCAATACCTGCCCATAATGCATGCCCTGCAAGCCGTAATGCATGCAGGCTTCAGTCTGCGCCTCCTTTTTATTGCAGGGAGGAGCTTTTCACAAAGGAAGGCGGGGTTTATTAAGACAGGGTACAGAAGTGAAATGTGATTAATCGTTCAAAACAGGACACAATGATTTACAGGAACAAATTCTAAAACATACATCACAAATTGCTTGATAATCTAACATCCTTAATTTTCTAGAAATTCAAGCAAATTGTTATATAGTACTTTGTAGGTTCGAATCCCAAGGCAGCAACTCGAGGTTTCTCAAGGCTAATTAACATACCTATAGCACCTAATCTTCAGTGAGAAAAAGATTCAGAAGGTCTGAAAGGAATCCAGCTGTTTCAGCTAAGTGGCTGAGGCTTGCAGGAGGAAGGAGGATGCCTTTGTTAATGGTCTGCACCTGGGGAGATCTGAGAAGGCTGACAACCATTATTCTTTGAACAAAACCTCGGAAGCCGCCAATCTACTTTGGGTGAATTCCTTAGGGAAATTTTTCTCCAGCGTCTCCCAGCAAACTTGCCCTAGGAACTTTTAGGCCTCGGCTTTAGAAGAGGTTTCTGTTTTAATATTTGTTCATGGGTATCAAGGGCTCATGTATTAAGTTAATATCAAACATAACTGAATAACTTGATAAAGAACAGTTTTTCCATGCTTGCCAGGTGGCCAGAGTTTGTTCCTCATAGAGATTTTGTTCCCAGAACCTTAAGCACAGCCAACACAGTGGAGATATTAAGAGAGGCACATAAGAAACCATTTTCTCAGAAGCTACAATTATTGGAGTTTGAAGCATAGAATGAGTGATAGGACTAAAGAAAATTATAAAGAGCTAGCCCAACAGTGAGTTCGTAAAAGGAACCCGGGACGTCCAGAGGTTACTTCCTTGGGCCATCAGGGTCCCTGGCTAGCAAGCCTGAGAGCGTCCATCGTGTTGGATTTTCGTCCATGACACCGGTCCTCAGCATCTCAGTACTTGCGGTCCTCAACATGTTTCCTCAGAACCCTGACCTGGACTCAGATGCATTGTTGGCCCTGCCGTTACCACAACTAGTGCAGAAGTTGCGCAGTGGGGAGCTGTCTCCTGAAGCAGTACTTTTTACCTATGTGGGAAAGGTAAGACCCTCCAAAGCCAGTAAGTGATCTTTCGGGCTCCCTCTCCTCCTGTTCACTCTACAGGCCTTGGAGAAAATCTGGCCTGGAGTTGTTCCTACTGAGGGCCATGGTGGGGACCACAGTGCCAGGGGATGTCAGGGAAGGACAGAGCCAGAGCTGATAAGTCTGCTTCTATGTGTATGTATTCGTGTGGGAGGGAGAGAGACTGAGAGGCTGACTATGTGCGTGACACAGAGCATGTTGTCTTAGCCAGAAATCTGGCTTTCAGCCCAGACTTCCCTCTCACTCTACCAGCTGCTAAGGTCTGTCTGTGTGCTTCTTAAATCTTTCTCTAGTTCGTCATCTTGTCTCAGTTCTCCTTCAGCTGCTTGATCCTCCATCCCCAGATTTCTCCATGCCTAAGCACCAATCATCTCACATGCCCACTCCCCTGGCTAAGAGTCCACCAGAAGGCCTGGCTCTGTTGCCCTTTTACTCCTTCCATCATCTTCTCTGGCTATGTTTGCCTGGAGTATGTGGCACAGCAGTTCAGTTCCTGGTGGCTCCCTGGTGCCTAGACTTGCCCCTCTTCTTGGCCCTGTTCAGTGACACAAGCTCATGGCTGACTGACATTTAGGGCTCAGAGTAGGAATCATCTCTTCCAGGAATCCTTCCCAGGCCAAGTAAGGGTTTTCTGACAGCTCTTATCATAATATAGAACCTATCTCTTTCCTGTGTCAAGTGTGGGTTCTCTATGGACAGAGCTTGTTTTAGTTGTCTTTACACCTTAGTACTGAACACAATGCCATTTCATACAGTTAAGTGCTCAAGAAATAGGTTTGAAATGAATGAAAGAACGAGTAAATGAATGATCAAATTGTGCTTTATGAGTGTGAACTCTGACTTCTTGAAAAGGAAGGTATGTGACAATAGATGCGACCACTAAGCGGGTGGACATGAGTGTGTGAACCTGGGTGTGGGAGTCACTGTGTCTGGGAGTATGAAAGTGGTATCAGTGGGTGAGAGGGAGGGAGGGGCTGGCCGACTATGTAGAGAAAGGTTGGGAAACCTTGGGCTGAGTGACACTGAAAGGAAGACCACAATCTCAGTAGATGAATTTGCCTTTTACTGAACAATTTCCCTGAAAAGGTTCCTGCCCTTCCTAGTTATCAACAAGAGAACATCTGGTTATAGATTGGCACTCACTCTTCTTGCCGTGGGCAGTTTGGGAACAGATTTCAGGATCATCTGCCCATGTTCCAGAAAACAGCAGTAGAATTCACATCAATTTCCCTTCTGGTGTTTCACAGGAATGAACAGGAGCTGAACTAACAGCTGCATGCTATTCTAAGGAGCCGTGGTGGCATAGTAGCATTGGACTGCTAACTGAAAGGTCCTGTGGTTCATACCTACCAGTCTGCTTCCTTAAAGATTTACAGACTTGGAAACTCTATGGAGCACTTCTACTCTGCCCTGTGGTTGGTTGGTTGGTTGGTTGGTTATGTGCCATGGAGTCGGTTCTGACTCATAGCGACACTTTACAGCGTTTCGGAGGCTGTAAATCTTGACGGGAGCAGAAAACCTCATCTTTCTCCCGCGGAACAGCTGGTAGTTTCAAACTGCTGACCTTGAGATTAGCAGCCCGACACGTTACCATTACGTTACATTATGCTGCCAGAGCTCCTTATTGTGTTCTATAGGATCAGCTATAGGGTCATAGACTCATTACGAGTTGGAATCAATTCAACAGTGGTAGTTTTGAGCTATAACTCCTTAGCCTGATTTTCCTTCATGTCAGGTCCTGGTCAAGGTTGTTTGAGGGCTCTGGAAAAGCCTCAGTGCAGACATCCCACTTTTAGTATGCTGCAACTTTTAGTCAACATCTTCCCCCTCTACCACGACCAGTGTTGGTCCTCTATGTGGTTTGCTCATTGGACTCCAGAGGTCCTAGAAGAGGGGTGACTTAGTTGGGTCAAGAAGAGAATGTTGGGCTCTGGAGGTTGGATTCGCTGCCGACTCCCAGTGGGACCTTTGAAGGGAGGGGTCTGGCCCTGTGTGCAGATGCTGCTTGGTGGAAAGGTGTGTGACCAAAGGTTTCCCTCCTCCTAGCTCATCCCCTGCTAGGGGGCGTCTGAGGCTAGAAACTTGTTCACTTGAGTGTCCTGGCCATCTTAGAGTTGAAGGCCAGAGACAGGAGGTGAGGTGGGTGCTGGGCCTTGGGTTACCCTCTGTGATCCTGACTCTGGTTACCCTTCAGCTACAACTTCTCACTCTGCCTGTGTACCTCCTCCCTCTTTCCTAGGCCTGGGAAGTGAACAGTGAGACCAACTGTGTGACCTCCTATCTGAGTGAGTGTGAGACTCAGTTGGCTGCTGCGGACTCGAGGCAGGGCCTGCTCTATGGTGTCCCTGTAAGCATCAAGGAGTGTTTCAGCTACAAGGTATGCCCTGCTTCCTTGAAAGTCAAGGCACCAGGCCCCCATTCCCAGTGTCCCACCCCCGCCTGATGGCTCGGTGTCCTGGCTCACTCAGGGCTCTCAAGGAAGGTCCAGAGGCCTTGAGGGGGCTCCACGCATCCACCTTGCTTTGGCCCTCGTGGTGGTTGGGGATGGACCTGGGCGGACAGGCTCCTGACTCATCGGTTATGTCTTTATTGGTGTCTGTCTCTTGCCAGGGCTATGACTCTACGTTGGGCTTGAGTGTGAACCAGGGTATGCCGGCCGAATGTGACAGCGTGGTGGTACAGGTGCTGAAACTTCAGGGTGCTGTGCCCTTCGTGCACACCAACGTCCCCCAGTCCATGCTCAGGTTGGGTGTCCAGTGTGGGTTAGGGACAGAGGCACCAGTGCCAGCGTGACAGGGAGCTGACCTCTTCCTGTTCCCTCCAGCTTTGACTGCAGCAACCCTCTCTTTGGCCAGACCACCAATCCATGGAAGCTCTCCAAGAGCCCAGGTGGCTCCTCAGGGGGTGAGGGGGCCCTCATTGGGGCTGGGGGCTCCCTCCTGGGCTTAGGGACTGACATTGGTGGCAGCATCCGCTTCCCCTCCGCCTTCTGTGGCATCTGCGGCCTCAAGCCCACAGGGAACCGCCTCAGGTATGATGTAGGTGGTGGGCGCAAGGAGCTTCTGGGTCCCTAGCTGTATAACCCTGACCTAGCTTCCAGCCTCTCTAGGCTCAGGGTTCACTCGCAGGGGTTTGCTGGGAAGAGTGTCACAGTACCAGTGGCCCTTATTCCTAGTTTGGCATGGGGATGGACAGTGGGTGGCCATTTCCTGCTCCCATTCTTGTGTGTTCTTATCTAGCAAGAGTGGTCTGAAGGGCTGTGTCTATGGACAGCTGGCAGGTGAGATCTGCAGTTCCTTTTTTCCCTGGAGGGTGGGGGTCTGCCCCATTCACCTCTGTCCCCTGCTTCTCTTATCATCGGCAGTGTCCTAGTCCCTGCCTCTTTGTCTCTACTTGGATCCAGCCCCGGAGCCCATTGGGACCAGGTTACCATTGTTCCTTCCCCTCTTCCCATCCCTCCCTGCTCCACAGTACAACTCTCAGTCGGCCCCTTGGCCCGGAATGTGGAGAGCCTGGCATTGTGTTTGCGAGCCCTGCTGAGTGAGGACATGTTCCGCTTGGACCCCACCGTGCCCCCCATGCCCTTCAGGGAGGAGGTGAGCAGCGGTGGGGTTTAGGCACCAGGGTTGACTAGGTTATCATTGGTACTGGAGAACCCAGACACAGCCCCTAGGCTATGTGGGCAAGCCTTGGAGGCCTTGTCTTTTGGAAACCACCTCCCAGGAGGCCAAAGCCAGGCTTAGTTGCTGTTCTACAGATAGCCACCAGATGGAGCCCTTGAAAACCCTCTGGTTTCCAACGGGCTTCTTTTCTTGGCTGAGAAAAGGCCCCACCCATCTGACCCAGCCTCTGCTACCTGTAGCTGAGAAACGGTTGTCAGGAAACCACTAGCCAGTTTGAGAACTCCTTGAGGGAGAACTCTTGTAGCTTGGCTGTAGTTAATCCTTTCTTATATGATTCGTATTTACATCTCCACTATGCAGTCTGATAACTGAGTAATAGACTAAGAGTCAAGTTAGGAGTGGAGTTTTCTGCCTCCCAGAGTAGCCTGGTTTCTGTAGATCGTATTAGTTGCTGGTGCCACCAAATATCATCTAAACAACCTGTAAATCAAACAGAGCTGAGTTGATCCCTAATCCACAGATGAGGAAGAAGAGCCCCTGTCTCTACAGAACCTGAGCAGCCTCTCAGGGGAGGACAAAATTGGGATATTTATTGAGATTTTGAAGTCTGGTTTAGGTGGATCTTTCAGTGTGGGACGTGTACGTAGGATTGGGTAGGAATGATATGTGAAGTTTACGATTTATGGACACAGTCAAGGGAGGACTTAGGTGAGGGGTTCAAAGAGTCTTGGGTGTGAACTGTCGTTTGAAGAGTTTGTGAGTCTTTCAGGAGTGAACTCTGAAGTTGCTTCTTCAGCAGCAGCGCCAGGAGTAGTGAAGTTGGGTTGATGACAGTGGGGTGGTAAAGTCAGGTTAGGGTAGACAGTAAGCTGGAGTCTGTTTCTCAACAGTCTAGCATTTCTTTGTACAGACCTCTTGCCCTCTCCCCAGCTAAGGTCTCTTTGGAAGGGCTGGAGGTCTCTAGACAGGAGAGTGAACCTTGGCATTCCTTGGGAGTCGAGCCCCAAACCAAATCCACTACCATTGAACTGATTCCAACTCATAGAGATGCTATGCAGGGTTTCCAAGGTTGTAAATCTTAATGGGAGCAGAAAGCCTCTTCTTTCTTTCATGGAGCAGCTGGCAGGTTTGAACTGCTGACCTTTAGGTGGGTAAGCTCAGAGACAGGCATGTTCTGTCTGAATCCAGTGGTTTAGACACTTGTAGCCGCGAACCCCTTCCTAAAAGAGAAGAGAGAGGAGAAGAAAAGGTCTCGGCTTAGCTAAGAGTCTGGGGCAGTTTATCGTAGGAGCTGGGACTTGCATTCTGCAAGCAGGCAGTGGAGAGCTTTAGCTCAAGAGCCAGGCCACCTGTGTTTTGGGCCTAGCTTTGTCATTCTTAATTGGGTTGCCTGGGCAAGTTCCAACCCCCAACCCGGCTATGGGCCTCAATCTCCTTACCTAGACCTCATGCTTCAATTTCCTCATATGACTAGTGGGAATCCTCATCTTTGCTTTGCCCATTTGTTCAGTCATCGTCAAAGTGTTGTGTGGAAGGGTCAAACTCTGGAGATGAGCGTTTTCAGGGAAGCATCAACCAGAGCCATCCAGGCTGCAGCCTCACAGCTGTGCAGGGTTGGGAGTGGGGTGGGTAAAGGGAGAGTTCTCTGATCACTGGGATCTCTGCCTGGGCTGGACTCTTCTCACTTAACTCTGACTGCTGTGTTTTGCCCCCAGATCTACAAAAGCACTAGGCCCCTCCGAGTAGGGTACTATGAGACTGACAACTATACCATGCCCACCCCAGCCATGAAGCGGGCTGTGCTGGAGACCAAGGAGCGCCTTGAGGCGGCTGGTCACACGGTATGTCTACAGAAGCTTGAAATTCTTGGCTTCCTCCTGTCCTAATTGTTTTGTGGTTGGGGACAGGAACTGGGTCTCTCTCAGGAGAAGGCTAACCAGGATTATTGTTGGGGGGAATGATTGATGGTGAACTGGAGACCAATGCTGGGAGATGTTTGAGCACTTTATTTGGAGGTCCTTATCAACCACAAGCAATGGTGCACAGTTGTCGAGAGGTTTCTGAGGCCCTGAGATAGTGGTATTAGACTGCTCCTCAGAGGCAACTTGATGCATGGCTCCAGACATCTCTCATACTGGGTATTTTACAGGAAGTTTTCATGGACCAGTAAAGCTGCCTTTTTGTCTCCATTAAGGATTACTTTGTGGGTAGAGTTGGTTCAATCCGTCCTCAGTGTCATCTGGGCAGCATGGGGGTCATGGAGCTAAGTGCTGCTAGTTCTGAGATTCTTACACCCTTCAATCCTTGTAGTTGGTTCACTTCCTACCAAGTGACATACCTCACGCCCTGGAGATCCTGTCAACAGGTGGGCTGTTCAGTGACGGTGGCCACCGTTTCCTGCAGAACTTGTGAGTGGGATCAAGAAATGGGTAGGCCCTGGAACATGTCTGTTCCAGAACTGGGTGGGCCAATCTACAGGAAGACTGGGTGGGCCTTAGTTGAATATGAAGCAGACCTGAGCATTCTGGGTAGGGGTCTCACTGTCCCTGAGATTGACAAAGTTGAGCCTGGGGACAGCTTTGGAAAGGTATAAGTTAACTGTCTTGTTGGGAAAGATAGAGGAACAAGGGGCAGGATCAAGGCAGGCTTTGCCTGACTCATTTTCTCTTTCATAAAATGGTTGGGTTGGACCAGACCCACTTAAGAGACTTTGCAGAGCTCAGATTTAGAATTTAGAAGCTGATTTCTCTTGGCTGTTTTCCGTCCTTCAGTGTTAGCAGGAGTTGAGAACACTGGCCTATGAAGGTGCCTCTTGAGGCTGGGCCTGGGCCAGTGTGACTGGTATCCCTCAGATCATCAACCTGCATCCTCTGCCTGTGGGGAAGTTGGCCCGGCACCCTGCTCAGTCAAGAGACTGAGTGTTTGTCCTTCTTCCCCAACAACCAGGGTGGTCCCCCAACCCTCAGTGGAGAGGGCCACCCCCTCACTCTGGCCCTGGGAATGAGGCCCCAAAATTATTCCGTAAGACCTTGACCCAGAGACAGCCCCTAGTGCCTCCAGGCTGGCATAACTATCAGAGCAGGGTGTCCTCAGCCCATGCTGCTTTGAACTGGATTTTCTGGGGAGAGAGACATAGAGTCCTGCTTTGGGGTACTCCAGTAGGTATGGGGTGAAATCCAGATGCTCAACGCATCAGCAGAAACAAATAATATATTTGACAAGGAGGCAAATGAATGGGTGATGAGCAGTGGTTTCTGAGTCTGGTGAGGAGGGAGGTGGACAAGGTCACTGAACAGAACATGGGGGAATGTGATGGATGGGGGTAAGCCAGGAGGAATGCTGGGATAGGAGTGCCTTGAACTGGTCTCTTTGTCTCACAGTAAAGGTGATTTCGTGGACCCCTGCTTGGGGGACCTGATCCCAATTCTGAAGCTGCCCAATTGGCTTAAAGGACTGCTGGCCTTCCTACTGAAGCCACTGGTGAGAAGAAGTGGGGGTGGGGAGCTCTGGGAGCCTTGGAGTACAGGATCCCCCATGGCTACTGGCTCTTTCCTCCTCTCCTCAGCCTCTGTTGTTTGGGCAGTCATAGCTTCTTGTCTCTCCAACCCCCACTCCGGTCACCTCTCCTTCCCCCTCCCTCCCCCCCTCCGCCCCATCCCCTGCAATCTTCAGCCACCCTGCTTGGGACCAGGGGAGAGACAGAGGGAGAAGTTGGCCGGAAGAGATTGTTGCCAGGACTCAGCTCAAAGCAGAATTGTTGATGCTGTGTCTCCCTTTCTGTAGTTCCCGAGGTTGGCAGCTTTTCTCAGCAGCATGAGGACTCGGTAAGAATATTTCCTATGCCCAGATGCCTTCCTCTGTCTTTCCCCTGACCTGAATGTAAGAAAAAGCTGCAGGGAACTAGTTTCTGAAGCTAGAAGCCACCCAGGCAGGGTAGCAACTTCTGTTGCCTTCAGGTGGAGCCTTGAAGTTTCTTCCTTAGCAGGGACAGCCTGCAGGGCACAGGCCTGGCTGGAGAGCCAGGGCCGGAGGGAGGTGGGAAAGAGAAGGGTAGAGAGGGGAAGACTGGCCTGGCTGTAGCCTGGGTGGAAAGGACCAGGAAGGAGTTGAATACCGGCAAACCCAAGAGACACACACGGTTCTTAGAACTCCCAGTTAAACAGCTGCCCCAGGTCCTGCCTGTTCCCTAGTGGATCAAGGTGGTAAAGCAGGGCAGAAACCACCCGGTTTTCAGGCCCTGACATATTGAGGTGGCACGCCTACTCAGGACCTTAGACAATTCTGACCTTTCCTGTGTTCTAATACGTAGTTGGGAGTCAGATTGGCCTAGTTCTGGCCCTGCTGTAGGGTCACTGAGTGAATTTCCTCTTGGGATCTGTTTTTCTCAAGTGGACAGCAGGGATTTGAACTTCGGCCTGTGGCCTGCTCTACTTCACCTCCAGAGCCCCCAGTGGGTTGGGAAGGGTTCCTGGAGGAGTTAGATGTGGAAGGTGTTAAAGAGCAGGGGGTCTGGTGTGGCTCATGCTTGTGGCTGTGACACTCATTGCTGGTGACCTCACTCCCTCTGCCCAGGTCGGCTGGAAAGCTCTGGGAACTGCATCATGAGATCGAGGTGAGGCCAGAGCCCCTAGACTAGAGCAAGGGAAGGGGGGTATGGGAGTTGCATAGGACACCCACCAGCAGGGTCTCCTGAAACAAAACTTGTTACTTCTACCTCCACACCCCAGACTGACCCCTTGGGCCCTGGTCTTTGACCGTCATTTACCTAGTTGCCTAGTCCTGGGGCTGAGTCAGCCTGGAATCCTATTCTGGGTGCCCCCTCGCCCCTCCAAGGCTGCCTGTGGCCATACAGTACTTGGTTCTGCCCGATAGGAAAAGTTGTGTTTGTAGTTTGTGTAGGAGGTGAAGCAGCTGGTGCCTATTTGCCTGGAGAACACTCTGTTTCTGTGGCTCAGTTCAGACCCAGGGCGGGTGCTAGGGCCAGAGCTGCCCAGAGCTGCCCAGCCACTGGCTCTGCCTGGGAGGGTCCATGTGGTGGGCTGGCTTTGAGTGCTGCTTCCCCAGGTGTACCGCAACAGCGTGATAGCGCAGTGGAGAGCGCTGGACCTGGATGTGCTGCTGACCCCCATGCTGAGCCCTGCTCTGGACCTGAATGCCGCAGGCAGGGCTGCAGGTGAGGGCTGCTGATCTCCCCACACTCCTGACACCCTCACTTGTCCCTTCTCTTCTGTGAGTCCAGCCTGGTGCTGGGGTGACTGGAAAGATGGGACGCCCTGGGAGAGAACGAACTCCCTACCATCTGCCCTATCATCTGCCCTATTCAGAGATCTCGAGTTGAGTTTCAGAGTCTGTGGTTTGGGGCGGTGGTATTGGAAGTAAGCAGGAACAACATTCCAGGTGGGGAAAAGTGCAGGGCAGGTACCAGCAGGCTCTGCAGCTCTCCCTTGAAATCTAGATCCCAGAGCTTTGCCACTGAGATCTCAACTCAGAGAGAGCCTTCTTCTGTCTGTGGAAGCTGGATGCCATTTCACAGGGCAGGAGACAAGCCCCAAAAGAGTTGGCCCCGAAGGTCACCTGGCCTGCTCCAGTCCCTTGTCATGTATTCCAGGGGCCGTCAGCTACACTCTACTCTACAACTGCCTGGACTTCCCTGCAGGAGTCGTGCCTGTCAGCACGGTGACCGCAGAAGATGAGGCCCAGATGGAACATTATAAGGGCTACTTTGGGGACATCTGGGACTGGATATTTGGGAAGGTGAGGCCAAGTGACCTTGCCTGGGCCCCCACACAGATCTCTCCTTCCCCTGGATGCACACCCTGCTCTAACTGCCATTGGAGAAACTGTGCCAACACTTGCAGTCAGAACTTGCGGTCCTGCTAGAAGACAGCCCTCAAAGCCTCCTCTCAGTCTACTCTACTGCCCTTCCTTCCCCGTTGCGGGTACTTCCTGGGTCTGGGGTTGGGTTCTGTCTCGCCCCAGTTCCCCCCATCCTGATGCCTATTTCCCTGCAGGCCATGAAGAATAGCGTGGGGCTGCCTGTGGCTGTGCAGTGTGTGGCTCTGCCCTGGCAGGAGGAGCTGTGTCTGCGGTTCATGCGGGAAGTGGAGCAGCTGATGCCCCGGGAAAAGTGACTGTCTGGACTGCAGATCGTCTACTTGCTCGGTGCTTGCTGGAGGACCTGAGACCCACTCAGTCTGAGGCCCAGCCTAGTCAGCACAGCTACCAGTCCCAACCCCATGGGGACATGTCCAGCATGGAGCAGAGACTTCTATATTCCCCTGCTTCCCCAAGCCCCTGGAAGAAACCCAGGTTCCTTGAGTCTGGAGCTTACTCCCACCTCTGGTCCCCTCTCTCTACTCTGACTCCCTCATGTGGCAGCCAGTGGATATGACACTATTGTTGTTGTTAAGTACCGAGGAGTTGGTTCGGTTCTGACTCATAGTGACCCTGCACAGGATTTCCGAGGCTGTAAATCTTTATGGGAGCAGAAAGCCTCATCTTTCTCCTGTGCAATAGCTGGTAGTTTCGAACTGCCAACCTTGAGGTTAGCAGCCCGATTCGTAACCACTACGTTCCCAGAGCTCCTTGGCCCACTAACAACTGATAAACAGTTGTAGTCTGTGTACTTTCTGAGCGTCATTTTTGGGGCATAAGGTTGGAGCCTGCTGAGAGTATGGCTGGTTTGATCTGCTAAAGCGTACGTCTAGTCATGTCAGTCTCTGCTCCTAAACCTCCCTGGTGCCTATCACCCATAGGAGGGATACAGGCTTCTTAAAGTGGGTGGAGCATATCTCAGCATCTCACCACTGCACCTCCTGTTCTGCCCTACTTCGCTGGACACTGCCCTTTGTCTCTTTCTCTGCTCTTTTCCTCTTCCAAGAATACCCTTTCTGTTTCTCTGCCATTAAATCCTTTAAGGTCCAGCTTTCTTTATGGAAGCCTTCTCTTTCTGGGATTCTTCTACAATTTCTCCTTCCTTGTAGCCCTATGTGGTGGGTGCCTATGGGTAGGTCTGCCTTCATTAGCACACTGGCTTTCCTTTGTGGCAATCACAGAGCTAAGCACAGGGCAGCAAGGCGTCTGGAGAACTGGCCTCTGAATCAGTGCTGTTGAGATGGGAACTCACAAGCCTGCGGGAGCAAGCAGGAGACACAGCCATCTGGCAGAAAGTGCTTTCATGGAGGGCAGAGGGCTAGATTGCTCATGGAAGACTTCCAGAAGGAGCAGGACCAGTCTGCAAGGTTTCCAGAAGCTGAGATGGGGTCAGGAACAACATGGAGAAGGCCAGCGTGCACGTGGTGGAAGGAGGCATGTTGAGTGAGCGCAGAAGAAGCAGTGATGTAGGCAGTTGGAGTGGTGGGATCAAGGTAAACTCTAGAGACCAGGTCTGGAACTTTAGTTCTGTCCTAAGGACAATGGGGAAATATTGGGGGATCACACTGGTGCAGTGAGGAAAGTAGACTGGAGGGGCAGAACCTGGTGAAGGGTAACAGTTCAGGGGTGGCAGAGGGATTTGGGGTGAAGGTGAGCTGCCTCAGCTTAGAGTCTCATCCTAGACAGGTATGCCAACTCACCTCTTACTGCTTTGCCTGGTGGGTGGAATGGTGGAAGGCTGACTAGAATGTGACAGATGCTGAGTTCACCCCTAGAAGTGTTCCCTTGTTCCTCCCTGGACCCAGCTCTGGCCCAGCTCCCTGTTTGGGTAGAAGACATATAGAAGCCCTTGAACCTGGAGTCTCTGGACAGAGCAGGCCCTGGAACCCCCACCTGAACTTTCTTTGTTAGGACAAGCTGCTTTCTTGAAACTACTTCCTCCACTTTGATTTGTATACTTCTTGTTTCCTCACAGTTGCCCCTCCCAGGCTTCCAGGCTACTGTCAACAGTCTGTAATCTCCATCAATGCCATCCTGGTCTCTGTGGGGCAAGTCCCAGGGCTAACATTAGTCCCACACTTCAGGGATGACTCAAGGGCACTACCCACACAGACACCTGGATTAGGGCAGATTGGTATTGCTGCACTTGGCTCTGGTTCCTCATAACTAATTCTGTAATGTTGCTTCTTGTTGTTGTCAGGTGCCATCGAGTCGGAACCGACTCATAGTGACCCCATGAACAGCAGAACGAAACAATGTCCTATCCTGCGCCAACCTCACTACCACTGCCACACTTGAGTCCATCAATGATGCCACCTGGCCAATCCATCTTGTTAGGGGTCTTCCTCTTTT